AAAATCTTAAAAAAAAAAAAAAAGAGCCTCCTCCTTCTACGGGATCTTCAACTTCAAAGCAATTGGCAAACCATTTGCGTAGAATTGGGCAGCATTATTAGCCCCATCTCACAGGTGAAGACTCTGTAGGTCAAGCAGGTTAAGAGCCTCACTAGAGATCACCGAGGGAGGTACAGGGGGTACAGCTCACGTGTCCTGACCCTCCCTCCCACGCTCCGCCTCAATCACACTCTTCCTAGGATCACGTTTCAGTTCATCTCTCGGTTATTCACTACCTGCTATGTACCCAACGCTCCGCCGCTGCTAGAGATAACAAAGCCAAACTGCCCTCAAGAAATGCATGGCCCAGTAGAGAAGCAATGAGGCCAACCAGCAACACAGTCCCTGCAGTTAGGTGCCAGGGGAAAAGTGGTTAACCCTGCCTGGTCAGGGAAGTTTCCCAGAGGAAAAGACACTTGAGTTGTGTCTTGGATAATGAATAATCGCGTGCCAGTCTGCTGGTGTGAGGGAGAGGAGGGGAGAAGACATCCAAGCAGAGGGGACGCCTGCACGAAGGCCTGGGGCACGGAACATGGTGCTCGGGGGACCTACACCTTGTCCTGTGCAGTGTGTGTGCAGGAGGGAGCAGGAAGGAGTGAGGCCAAAGGGCCAGCTGTCAGAGGACCTGTCTGCCAAACTAAGGAGCTGCCCTGAAGCGGGGAGGGAGGAAGAAGCATTGACGCATCATGTCCTGGAAAGCATTTTTATGTAGTATGCTATAAAATATATTTTTCCCCTGACCTCACCCAATAACAACAGTCCCCATTCCCTTTTTGTTCAACTTCACTGTACCACCTCAAGAGAGTTCACCAAGCCCAGGCTCTGCCCCAGCGCCGTGCCATTTCGTGCATTATGCTCCCTGCTTCGCATACTCTGCCGCCACCCTGGGGAAATTACTTCTTCCTTCAAGACGTAGTTCAAGTATCACCCCTGCCCCCGACAACTGCCCCTCCTTTGTCCCATCAAGGCTCCCTTGATCCCCCACCCTCTTTGAAAGTGCCTGCTATGGAGTGCTGTCTCAGAATTTGTTGAATGATCGAAGGAATTAATGAATAAGTGAATGTATTTTATTAAAATTCTAAAGGCATCGTTAGCTTTCGGATGCTTTGTTGTCTTAGTCCATTCCGGCGGATATAACCAAATCCCATACACTGCGTGGCTCATAAACGACTGGAATATATTGCTCGCCGTCCTAGAAGCTAGAATCCAAGGTCAGGGGACCAGCAGACTCAGAGCCTGTATGAGGGGCTGCTTCCTCGTCCATAGACGACCATGAAGGTTCAACCCCCATGACCTAATCACATCCCAAAGGCCCCACCTCCTAATGCCATCACATGGGGGGTTAGGGATCAACGTCTGAATTTGGAGGGCACACAACATTCAGTCAATAGGACTTACTACAGAAAATCAGCCGATGTCTTAATATGTTCCGTAGAATAACATTGCTTACACTTAGATTAAAGAAGGAGTTGGTTGGCAGGTGTAAAATGGCTTTCTTGCGATTACAGATCCTCACCAAGGATTCGGTGACCGTCAGTGTGGATGGTGTGGTCTATTACCGCGTTCAAAATGCTACCCTGGCCGTGGCGAATATCACCAACGCTGACTCGGCAACCCGTCTTTTGGCACAAACGACTCTGAGGAATGTCCTGGGCACCAAGAACCTTTCCCAGATCCTCTCCGACAGAGAAGAGATTGCACACAACATGCAGGTGAGGCTGTGAGTCCCCAGAAATTCAAAGATGAAGTCAAGGGTTAGTGGTTGTTTGACAACTTTTGATTAATTCCAACTGCGGGGGATCACTGGCGGGCCTTTTTGTCTTCACAGAAAGGTTTTCTCAAACTCGATGGAAGGGAATATTTTTCACACAAATAGCTCATGGGTTAACAGCTCAGATGCATGCATTATACTTTTATTCCCTTCAGTGTGAGGTTTTTTTTTTTTTTTCCAGAATTAGCATTAACCTTTTTTCTTTAGCGTAATAATTCTGAGGCCATTCTGCAAGACCGTGTGGGTGTCCTTAAAGCTCTGTTCTCTGCACGAGTCGCATGACTTCCCTTGTAACTCATATGCACCCCAAGCTTTCTAGAGTAATAGATTATGAATTAAACCTGACTTGTTCAAAGAAGATAAAGGACTAAAATCCGAGATCTTGTTATTTGTATAAACGTCCTTGTGTGTCAAATCTGTGACCTTAGCTGACGCGCACAACCACTGTAGGAAACAGAAAGGAAGGTGCCGTTGCTCCCCTTGTAAAGGGACGAAGTGGAAGCGGGAAGAAGCGCTGTGGCTTACACGGAGGCACGTTAGATCAGGAGCCAGCTGGCCACCTACTTTTATTAGTGACGGGGGACTGGGATACAGCCATCCCTGTGGCTTTTGACCCACATCGGCACGGTTAAATAGTTGCAAGAGAGACTGAAAATAATCACTGTCTGGCCCTTTGAGGAAAAGTCTGCCAACCCCTGCATGAGCTTCTTAGTAATGGAACCAGGATCAGCTCCCCGGGGCCTCGGCCCCCGCAGAAGGTAACTAGCCTCTCTCCCGGCACCCCCGCCAGCGCCCTGTCTGCTCCCGGCCCAGAGGTCTGCCGTCGGCCTCCGGGCTGGGCTGAGCATTCTTCGCTGGCCTTCTGTCTTCCAAACAGTGTACGCTGGATGATGCCACTGATGACTGGGGAATAAAGGTGGAGCGCGTGGAAATTAAGGACGTGAAGCTGCCCGTGCAGCTTCAGAGAGCTATGGCGGCCGAGGCAGAAGCATCCCGGGAGGCCCGCGCCAAGGTAGCCTTGCTGTCTTGCCTTGTTTTGTTTTCTTTTTTCTTCTCTTCTTTTTCTTTCTTTCTTTCTTTCTTTCTTTCTTTCTTTCTTTCTTTCTTTCTTTTTCTTCCTTCCTTCCTTCCTTCCTTTCCTTTCCTTTTCTTTCTTTCTTTCCTTCCTTCCTTCCTTCCTTTCCTTTCCTTTCTTCCTTTCTTTCCTTCCTTCCTTCCTTCCTTCCTTCCTTTTTCCTATTGAGTTCTCTTCTTAATTACAAAACAGTAAAACATTGTCGTTATAAAAATGGAAGTAATCCTAAAGCGTTGAGTCAAGTTGAAAGCCTCCCTGTCACTTCCAGCAACATCCCCCCAGGGGCCACCACTCGTGACAGCTTAGTGTATATACTGGGGCTTTACCTGACGAGGGTGTTAGACTGCTGGCTTGTTGGTTTTACGAAAGTAGGGTCGTACCATACCTCTTGTTCTCTGCCTTGCTCGTTTCGCTGAACAACATCCTGTGAGCACAATGGTGCATGCAGAGCCACCTCATTCTTCTGTGACTGCGTGTCCCACACTCTATGTTCCTGGTCCCCCACTAAGCACAAATTAACAGTTCTGACTTCAGAGCAGCTGGGCAGTCCCGTCAGTGTGCTTACCATTCATTCCTTCCCTATTTTGTTTCTCTCAAAGATTTTATTTTATTTTCTAAGTCATCTCTACACCCAGTGTGGGGCTCGAACTCACAACCCCAAGGTCAAGAGTCGAACGCTCTACCGACCGAGCCAGCCAGGCACCCCTCCTTCGCTATTTTTGTCTTCTCTTTCATTCTCTCTTTTCTCAGGATCTTCTTCCTCTCTGTCCTCTTAACTTTTTTTCACTCCTCTTTCTCTGATGTCTGCTTTTTCCCCTCTTTCTGCCTACCTCTGGAGCCCGCATGGATGCGTGCCCCCTATGCGGGGTATCGAGGAAATATCTATTAATCTAACCCAGGAAAGAGGATTTCTGGAGCTAATACATAAGGACACAGGGATATCTCGCCAAACCCAAGGTTGGGAAGCAGACTCAAGTCTCCAGAGTTGGAGCCAGGGACCGCAGTGCGGTCAGGACTGAAGGGAGCTGATCATTCCGTCTCCTGGGCCCCACCTCACTGCTGACAGCTTGAGGGCAGAGCATCTGACTCTCAAGTTTACACGCCTCCCCAGTTGAACACTAAAGGGGACAGACCAGCCTTGATTCCACATTCACAGCAGAGAGATTTTCTTTGGTCAAAATTTAGTCAAAAGGGCAAAGTCAGATATTAATAAGGTCCCACAGCCCCTTGCGCATATATGAATGGGTGGAGGAAGAGGGTCAGTTCTCATCAGAGGGGTTGCTGTGGACTCGACAGATCTCCCAAGACTCAAGGGGCAAACCAGTCTGTTGTCTTGTTGGAAAATAGTAGTAGCTGGAGATAATTGGCTAAGTGCAGAACCCTAACCTTCGAGTAGGAAGCCCTTTAAGCTGCAAATCAGGCACTATAATTTCTTAGCCAACACCGAATAGAATAGTAGCTCCTTTGACACACTTTGACACAATAGAATAGTAGCTCCCAGATTTTTCTACTAACCAGAATTGTTAGGTTTTCCTAACGTGATAATTAATGCTTATGAGGACGACCTGGTAATACTGCAGAACCCTCCAGTGCTCTCTCTCTCAAAGTCATCACAGTTAGAAAACTAAGTGGTATTTCTGGTGACATTAAATATGCCCTGCTATAATCTAATGAGTATTTTGAAAATTAGGAATTGCTTTTACCTAGAATATGTCATTAACCAACAGCCCCATTTCCAAGCCGTATCGAATGGAACTTACCATACATAGACAACTTAGAATGTCAGAGCCCGAAAAGTCCTTAGAGATTACCTTCAGAAGGTGACACATAACCTGGCCCAGATGCTGCCCCTCCACCCTCCTATTCCCCTGCTGGTAATTAACCACAGCACTGTTTTGCACTGAGTCTAAGCTTTGACCTCAGAATCCTCCTATTGCCCTCCAGGTGACAAGCCCCAACTGCTTGGAATTGGCTCTAAAAATGAAACTTATTTGCCATCCCACTATTCTGATGAAAAAATTGAAGCCCAGAAAATTTATGTGATTTCCTCAAGGCCACAGAGTTGATGAGTGGCCGTAGAAATTAAAAATTAGAATTCCCCTCTGCTCCTCACTGCCTCCTCTGGACTTCCCGTGATGGACGGAGCCTCTGTGCAGGTGTTCTCACCAGCTAGGAAAGAGAATCCCTGATAACAATGGGAAGAGATAGAGGAAGCCGGTTAGAATTCTGAATTACTGTGCTCCCACTTGGATGAGACCGTAGGGACCATCTAGAATATTCTCGTGGACCTGGGCACTGACTGTCTTTAAAACTAGGGTGAACACATAGAATCACAAGGAGTCTCTCCCTTCCGTAAAATACAGCAGCCCTGCAGCCACCATAAGGCCAAAAATTCAAAATCATATATTCAGGTTCTCATGGAAAATAGGGAGTCTGTTTCTTCAATATATAAATTGTGAACCAAAAGGGTAGGAGAGCCTCTAGACTAAGAGACTTCAGAGAGAAATTCCTCAAGTTAATTAGCCATCAAGGAAATGCAAATTCAGATCACAAGCAGATGCCACACTAGATATCCACCAGAATGGTTCTAAAAAAAGAAAGAAAGAAAAGGAAAAGAACCGGGTGTGGGTGAGGGAGGACCTGGTGCCCTTATTTTGTTAACGAGACTGTAAATTTGGTGCCTCCACTTTGGAACACCGTCTGGTGGCAGCGTGTACCCAGCAGAAAGGCCTGTAGTAGAGTGTTCACAACAGCTTGTATTACCCTGAACTGGAAACTGCCCGCATGTCCCTTGCCGTTGAATGGATAAAGTATGCTTTATTCTCACGAAGGAGCACCATGCAGTGAAGAGAATGAACGTCCAAGTGCTCGCAAACATGGTTTGAGAGAAAGGAGCCGGGCACAAGAGAGGACAGATTCTCCCGCAAGCTTGACAGCACGTTAGCCGAACCTCTTTCTCAAGTGTTTAGACCCGCTCTTAATGGCTTGAGATGTAATACCTTTTCCGCTTGCATCCTTCCAGATTTCCATTCTCATAACTCTCAAAAGAAGGCCCGGCACGTGCTTTCAGGCTCATATTCCCGGGCCTAGTTATCTATTAATTGAGAGGGTGGAGTGCAGAAACTGTGCCCTTCTCAGACCAGCCCGCCCGGGCTCTGGAAGGAGACAACAGTACCAACCTCACATACCTGAAAATGCCCGACTTGCAAGTGATGGTCTGTTGAGACGAAGTGTTGCTCGACATGGGGCTGCTGGGCATTTGGCAGAGGCCCCACGCCCCACAGGTAGTTGGCTCTGCTTTCTGAGATCCCATTCACGGCATCTACGGGGCCTGTGTTTAGATGGATCCTTTGCCAGCCTGCCCAGAGCTGCTTTTCCATTAACAACACGGCGTGCCTAGCCTGGTGGGTCCAGCTGCCCAGCCAAGAGACTGTGCATTGACTGGTAATGGGAGATGAGCTAGCCTTGCAGTTGGTCCTTGTCCAGACCAGGAAAAAGAAAAAAAGTGCCTTATCGGCCGAGATGACATGAAAAAAGCTAAAGCCTGCCGTTCTCGGGGCAGGGGCTTGTTTTGCATTCTGTACATAACGGTGCGTGCCTTAGGGCACGGGTATGTGAGTCACTTTGAGTGTACCTGGTTCTTGCCCCTTCTCACACACCTACGTAGGACGTCCTGATAAATTAAGGTTTTTATCCTCTAAACTGAGTGCCTTCTCTTGGTAATACCATATCCGATAACCCCCATCTCACCTAATGGGACGACCCAGGCAACCGAAACCTAGAAACCCGGGTCCCCGCCTCTGTTCCTCTCCCTCCCTGTACCCAGTCAGCCTCCATACTGCTGACTTCCCTCCTGAATAGCCCCCCAGCCCATTCCTCCCTCCATTGCCACTACCAGCAAATCGCCCTGGTCACTCTGAGGCTGTCCCACTAGCAGCTGTCCGTGTCTCCTCACCCGTCCTCAGGCATCTGTCAGTGTGTCTTCTCCAGCTAGATCTGATGAGGTTCCTGCTGGAAACTTCAGCAGCTTCCCACTGCCGACAGGCTGCAGACCAAGCATCCCTGCCTCCGCTTGGCCTTACACCATATTCAGCCACTTACATTTTTTTTGGAATACACCAGCTTTTTTTTATACCTCGGTGCCTTTCCATGTGTGCTGCCTGAAGTATTCTTCTTCATCTTTGTCCAAACAGCAAAGCTTTCGTCCTGTTCTGTTCAACTTCTCTATCTCACCACCTCACCTTCTGCAAAAACTGCTATCCTCTGAGGGCTGGCACTGTGCCTTGTATCCATCTCTGTCCACATCTGTCACGCTGGAACAAAGTGGTCTGTTTCCATGTCTGTGTCCCCTGCTTGACCAGTTGCTGAAGGAGGCGAGGGGGTCCACTCTCACCCCTAGCTCCTGCACAGGGCTTGACCCCTAGGCCCCAACATTAACGGTATAAGTAAATATGACTCCACTGGTCCTAGGACCATTGCTTCCGATTTTGACTCTCATGGGAGTATTATGAACCATGAATATTTTGAGATCCATGTGAAAATAACCTAGTGGAACTGCACGATTAAGCTGGAGGATCCTGGTATCTTCACCCCTCTTCTCCGACGATTATGAAGTAAAAGGAACTGCCTTGATTTGGCTTCCGAATCTTGTACGCATTAAGGCATAGGTGGATCCAAAAAATCGGGTCTTGACTTCCCACTTGCTATTCCTATACAATAGCCTCCATTTATACTTTCCACACGTACTATAGCTTTCTGTCTTCCTAACAATGGCCCGAGGAGGCAGGTGCTGTCCCATTTTAAGAATAAGAAACTGGAGCTCAGAATGTTAAATAACCCCCTTGAGGACACTCAGCTGGTAAGGGTTTAGGTTCGAGATTTGAGCTCAAGCCTGTCTCACTCCAGAGCCTCCCCACCACCCCAGGGATGTTCAAACGTTTATGCTCATGTAACCTCTCAAAGAATTTAGAAAAACTATGTTCCCATCACACATTTTAAATAGACCTGTAAAAATTTTCATTTGAATTGATATATTTGGTTGAGCATATAATCCCTGGCATGTTTTAAATATTGACATTTTACACTAAACCTGTGAACATCATTCTTTTAAATGTATCCAGTGAAATTCAAATAACATAATGACTCCATCATCTATTTAAAATACGTCAATAAGTTTTTCATAGTCGGGCATGTTTCACTGTGCCTTTTTCTCCTTGAACTTAAATTTCCACTCCATCTCCTCCATGGATTTCTTTTCCTAATACAGTATATTTCATCATGAATTATTTTATTACTCTACTGCAGCACATTTAGTATCGAAATTAAAATTAATTCTTAGAAAATTTCCCGTGACTATAAGCAAGGCATTTAAATGTTTCAGAATTTCTCCTCAATAATTTTTTTTTTTACTAGAAATGCTTCTCTTAACAAGGTGAAGAATTCATATCTTCGTAGCTGGCTATTACTTATTGCCAAAAGATTAAACATCAATTCTAGTCTTAACTTTTTCATTTTTATAGATATAAGGAGTCAGAACTTTTGTTTACATAAATAAGTGGGTAGAAATGAAAGTTTTGTTTAAAGTCACGCCATGCAATTCTTTGCACTGCCTCTGAATTTATGTGCTAAAAAAATCATACAGCGATCTTCATCAAAAAATATATATATTTTTAAAGATTTTATTTATTTGACAGAGAGAGAGCACAAGCAGAGGGAGCGGTAGAGTGAGAGGGAGAAGCAGACCCCCTGCTGGGTGGGGAGCCCGACATGGGGCTCGATACCGGGACCCCACGATCACGACCTGAGCCGAAGGCAGACGCTCAACTGACTGAGCCACCCAGGCACCGCTCAAAAAATATTTTTAATGACCATCAGCTTTCAGTTCACTCCTGTAAAGTTCTCTTTCCTTTCTTAACAGTCAAAGAACTAGAAATCCATTTGACTTGCAAAAGGATTCGTATCCGTCGTTAGTCACTCTCTCAACCCCTACACGGTATTTTGAATTGTCCCTTTGTCCGGTCCCCTGAAGCGTGCGAGAAAGATCACAGTAAAAGAGGATATCTTGATCTCAGGCACGTACTCAGGCAAATCAGATAGAGGAAAAAGGACAAATGGAAACTGGGTAACTGGAAATCGAATCTTTTTTTTAAATTTTTTTTTTAAAAGATTTTACTTATTTATTTGAGAGAGAGAGAATGAGACAGAGAGCACAAGAGGGGGGGGGGATAAAAGGGAGAAGCAGACTCCCCGCTGAGCAGGGAGCGCGATGCAGGGCTCGATCCCAGGACTCCAGGATCAGGACCTGAGCCTAAGGCAGTTGCTTAACTGACTGAGCCACCCAGGCGTCCCTGGAAATCGATTTCTTAAAACCATTTTGGCTTGGCCCTGGAAGGTTTAATGTACATACCCGGGTTTGAAGACAGCTGCCTTTTTCTACGTTTTGACCACTCCTTGATCCTGTCCCGTAGGTCATTGCAGCCGAGGGAGAAATGAACGCATCCAGGGCTCTGAAAGAAGCCTCTATGGTCATCACCGAATCCCCGGCAGCCCTTCAGCTGCGGTACCTCCAGACGCTGACGACCATTGCAGCCGAGAAAAACTCCACGATCGTCTTCCCCCTGCCCATAGACATGTTGCAAGGCATCGTGGGGGCAAAACAGTGAGCCGCAGAGGCCAACGCAGAGATGCGCCCGTCCCTTCCAGGGTAGAGCGGGGACCAAATCAGCCCTTAACTTGTAAGGAGAGAGGAGGGCGGGACCTCGACTAAATATTCCTTCCTCTCTTTCCTTTTCCATGTTGACTGCAAGGTTCTTAGAATGTGTAGTGATCCTAGCAACAGATGAAGATTGTTAGCTTGTAAATACTGAGAAAGAGAAGGGGTGCGGGGAGGGGACTAGTGATTTATAGAAGATAATTTCTTACTCGTTAAAATATTTAAAAGTTCATATATTTGGATCATTATGTAATAGGTTAAATCCCCCTTCTTTTGACTTTTCTGTGGGTCGTTCTGCAACCTCTATCTGCAGCCAGGCCAAAGGCAAGAAAATAGGTTATAACCACCACTTGACAGCCTGGCTGAATAAATGCTTTGCAGAAAGCAGAGACCTTAGGCTACGACCAGCTTCTCTGGGCCACACGTGCCTTACTCCCGGGGAATCTTAAGGAAACATTCTTGCCATCTGTTTACTTTCTAATCCCAGGCCATGTTTCAAAATAATCCTCTCTCCAGAGGAGGCAATTTCTTGCCTGTACCTGTCAACACTGGAGGAAATGGTCAAGATGAGTGAGAAAGATGATCTTAACCCTTGAAAGACTTGTAAATCTACTGCCACAAAAATCCTTTAAGAATAATATGTTTCTTTTCTTTTTTTGCTCAAAACTTCTTTGAGCCTCTCTACGACCAAATGATTCCCCTGTGGTCTTTCAAACCAGCTAAATACTTGTCACAAAAGTGCTTTTTTCTCACTTTTAACTATTTTCATATATCAGGTTCTCAATAGTTTGATTTTTTAAATGACACTTTCTCTAAGTTCTATAAACAACTGTTTATATACCCATTCGAATAGCTTAAGGACTAATACTTTTTTAAAAAATGTCTTCAGGAAGCCATTCTATTTTACTGTCTGCATGCTATTAACTGTTGTACACTGTGAAATATTTTGGTTATCAGTCCCGTTCATTAAATACTATAAGGAATTCACAGTATATTGGGCACATAATAGCCAATGAGCTTGGTGAGACACTGTCAAACTTAGGATATACATACGGATCTAGGTCTTTTTTCTATTTGTAGAATCATCTTTTTCTGTCACTAATGTCGTTGCCTAAAGAGGAAGTGGTCAGCCCCTCTGAACCACAGTTGCTTATTTTGCAGTAATAGGAAACACCTTCAGTTTTGCAAATGTTCTTGAATCTGAGCAACCTGGCATTCTTCCTGTTGGTCCGAAAACCTGGCTGGCAACATTCCTCCTTGAGGAACTCAAGTTACTCATTTTAAATAATGCTCTTATCTCTTTGGTGAGGTGGCGACCCATAAAGGACCAGGAAACAACTCCCTATCCTGGCTGAAAAATCTCTTCTCAGGCTTAGAGTAACCGTGCGTTCCGCTCCTGGAGTTTCCCTATTTGCAGATACCAGTCTTCGCCTCCCTGCCTTGTGGATTCATAGCCCAGTAGGGTGGGATTAAATTGCTTGAGAGGGAGGAAGCATAAAAGGGGTCTAGGGTGAGTGTTGGTGCAAGAGGTTTTTCCACATGGCCTCCCTTTCCAATGCTGTACATAATAAAGTGTGCACTTGTACTCATTTTCTTTGGGTGAGAGTCTGTTTCTGCCTGCATTTAGCGTCTGTGGACTTCATTTTTCAGAAGTGGCCCGGGAGATCCTCCCATCCCGGGCTGGCTGCGTTGGCTTCTTCGTGTGCTCTTTATGGGCCAAAAAAGGAGGAGAGCTTACAATCGTCCATCTGTCGTCTTTCTTGTCTAGGCTCCCTCTGGTGCACCTGCCCACATATTTTCCCTGGGGGGTTTGAGATCCATGGATACCCTGAATGCGTCGCTAGTTTAATTTCCCTTTGCTTTAATACAGACAGGACAGGAACTCCCTTCTCTCACCCAGTGGTCTGTCACATCCCCTGTGCCTTGCACACTGCCTGGCCCCAAGTACACAACCAATACCCAAGGTCGGACACAGGCCCAAGGTCAGACACAGGATCCAAGCCCAGGCCGGCCTCTTCGGCTCCTGTCATGGCCCACCACAATGACGTACGCGTTGTAGATGACCGAACACAAGGTCACTTTTTTGAGGGCAAAAATTGTTAAGGAAGAGAAACTATGTGGTTGATGTGATAGTGTTCTCAGTTCACCATTTTGCCTTTGAAAGAGATAAAATAGGAAGTCCCAGCGACTCCATAGCCTCAGGCAGCTTCCTTTCTCGGAGCACTGTGGAACTCTTGTCAAAGGCCACAGCCACCAATAAACTGAAACTGGCCAATAAACCACCTTGAATGGCACTAGAGGAAATGAATTCAGGGGCAGGTCTACTTGCAATTCGTCCTCCCACAAGTTTTCAGGATGTGAGCTGGCTCGTCTAGACAGGCCTCCACCTGCCTCTTATGGAAGGTTCTAGAAGCTCCAGGTGAAAATGCTGCTGTTGTTCCAGAACTCTGCATTTGTCAAGTTGATCACTTTGACTGTGAAAGTAACCCTTTGGGGTGAGGCAGGAGTTAAAAGATCAGGTCCAAACCCCTTCCCATGGTAGTTGAGGTTCCCCTGGGCCCTGCCCACCTCTCAGATGGGAGGCCCAGCCCTCCCCAGCTGCTCTGGCCTTACGGGCTGTCCCTGAGCATACCGTTCTCCCTCATCACTCCCTCTGTACTTGCTGCACAGTCTGCCTGAAATGCAAGGAGCACCCCACCCCACCCCGCCCCGTGTCTCACCTGGAAAATTCCTTTTCCACTCCCCCTGTCACCTCTGCGATGAATCAGAATCTCTGGAGGTAGGGCCCCTGGGGCACCTATGGTTTTAAAAAGCTCCCTGGGCGATCTGAGTGAGCAGCAGCTCTGGAAATGGCAGTGTAAACACACACACCCTTCCTACCGTATAAACCTTCACACTGGTCTCTGTTCCCTGACCCAGCCCCAGGAATGGGAGACTCCCTCTGGAACAGGTGGGGATCAGGAGGACAGGTGGCACGGGAACAAAATGGCGGAGAACGTGGGGAGAAAAGACCAGAAGGATAGAGGGGAGGGAAAGGATCTGTTCCACAGCAGTTCCTTGCTCTGGTTTGGAACATCCATGGAGAAAAGCTCTAGAAGAAGCTCATGGAAAAGTCTAAAAGGGATTTTGTGACACTCTGAGCGTGAGCAGAGATTCAGGGCCTGTGCGGGCGGCGGGGGAGACAAAGTGGGGCACAGAGGAAGTCCCTCTCCCACGGCTTTGGGAGCCTTCAGGGGCACCTTCTGTGACGGTAACTTCAGTAGCCGAGGAGATTTCTCCAAATAGCTTTGGGGCAGCAGAATGACTCACGGAAGGCAGAGGAAGCCAGGAAGGTGTAGGCAGATTAGTTACAGGGCATGATGGCTGGGAGAAGGCACCTTGTCCAGGCTTCTAGGCAGCGAATGCAAATGGCTAAGGGGTCCAGCTGCTGGCTTTGAGCTCTGTCCCCACAGGTGCACCAAAGCCACGCCTCCTGATGACAGTGTGGAGTGGGGAGATAAGACACCACAGCCGCTCCTGGGGGGAGCGCAGCTCCTTCACTGGCTGATGGGACTGTGGCTCAGGAACACTTTGAATCAAACAGATATTTGCACCCCTGTGTCCACAGTGGTCTTGTTCACAATAGCCAGAACGTGGAAATGACCTGAGTGCCCACCGATGGATGAATGGATAAACCAGATGTGGTGTATACACACAATGGAATAGTAGTCAGCCACAAAAAGGAATGAAAATGTGATATTTGCTGCAAAATATATGAATCTTGGAAACATTATGCTAAGTGAAACAAGCCAGACACAGAGGGCAAATTTTGTATGGGAAAAGGCAAATTCATGGAGACAGAAAGTTGATTAAAGGTTACCAGGAGCAGAGAGGAGGGAGGAACGGGAGTTATTGTGTAATGGGCACACCATGTATGTTGGGGATATGAAAAAGGTTTGGGTACAGATCGTGGTGGTGACCTCACAACACCGTAAACGTATTTAATGCTACTGAATGCCACTTACGAATGGTCAAAATGAGTATTATATGTAGTTTACCACAATAAAAAATAGCAAAAATGGGACTATGCAATTAAAAAAGCTTTTCTTTTGGCGGTTTTGGGTTTTTTTGTTTTTTTCCTTTCGCTCAAGCAATCCCCGACAAGCTCTGCCAGACTTGCCTGGACTACACAGCCATCTGGGGTGGGCCCCCTCCCGAGTCCCTTCCACACAGGCCGTTCCCCTGGAGCCATCTCTCTGCACGTCCCACCTCATCCTGGCATCAGCTTCTCGAAGGTCCAGGATTCACACCCAGCATGAGTGAAGCTCATCCACCAGTGCAAGGGCAAAGGCAAGGCCCCTCCCTGGGCACTTCCAGAAGAATCACCAGGACAGACGGAGCCGCGGCAGGCTCACACACTTCCAAAAGCTTTTTATTGAATTCAATTTTCCAAAAGCACAGATACTTGAGACAATTTTCGCAAGGACCCTGAATTTTCACGTGGCTGTTTTAGGCTACGGTAAAAACACACTCACACACACCAGAGAGGCCCTGCTCGCTGTAAGGTCTCCGACGGATGGACTGTTAGAAAAGGCACTGACCGGGGGCAGGGGTGGGGTCTCTCCTTCAGGCTGCCAGTTCAGCCATGGCCCTGTCCAAGGGGTCCACAGACCAGTAGCTGTCATCCCAGCCGAGGAACCAGCCCACGAAGGAGGGAGGCTCAAAGCCTTGCTTCACGATGGTGATGGGGGTCCGCCTGTCGCGATTAGCTGGGTCCGTCTCGATATATCGCTTAGCTGTAGATACACATGTGCAGGAAAAGGAAACCCCAGAAATCCTTAGTGACTCCTTCCCCAGGGAGAGGTGCTTCGGGGCAGGAGCTGCCTAGGCTTCTGGTTTTACTGTCTCCAATGCCCAGTCCCTGCACTAGACACCACCATCCCTTAAGGGCAATGACCCCACATGGCTCTCTTCCACCACCCTGCCTGTGAACCCCAGAAGGGACAGGGGTCACAGTTCAACTTCCTCCTTCACAAAGTTTATATCATTTCTCACTCCTGCTCTCCCCTACTGGGAGATAGTAAAGAACCAGCTTTAGGGTTCCAGCTCCCAATCAGATCTGGTCAGCTACTAGGGCTCTAGTCAGGAACTCCCCAGACCCATGTGGGAAGCTGTTCCCACCACACCACAGGACAAAGACCCACAGGCACACTCGGTCCTCACCAGAGCTCAACGCTTCTGTCTTCTCCTCTTCTTGAGAATCCTTTCCAACCCAGACAAAGACCTAGAGTGAGATGTGAAATGAGGCGGGTAGGAAGGTCCCAGCCACAGGGAGGGTCCAGGTGCTGGATGTGGGACACAGCCCGCAGCTGACAGAGCCCACAGACCAGGACTGGAAGGATCTGGAACCAAGTCTGCAAACTGGTGACCCACCAGCATGCTTTGTCAGCCTACCCACCATCACATGTTGGTCTGCAACGTCTTTTTAGACAAGTTTAATTACCAGCTTACATTAACATCTAGAGTTGCCAGTTCTCTTGAAAACTTGGAGGATCTGGCCTTCACCTTTGTGTGGATGAAGCTGAGCAGCAGCTCCCCTGCCCCCACTTCAGACGAGCAGTTCCAGTTTGCCTCGAGCTCCAGCAGCTCGTGTCCCCCCCATCCCAGCCCCTCACTCACTAACATTGCTGACCACATGCATCAGGCACAGAGGTTGAGATCCCTCTCTAGAAGTGCATGAATGATCCCTCTATAGGGATCAGCAAGTGAGTGGCCAAACACATGCTCACAACAAATATACCCTGAGCCTGCTACGTGCCATTTCTGTGTGTCTGGGCCGCATAGGTCTAAGGCTTGGAAAAAGTAGAAGTTTTGAGCTTGAATGCACGTTTTGTAATACAAACATATTTATGCACCTCTAACATATTTTAAAAAGCACCTGTCACTGATACACTGATATTAGACAATAAAACACCAGACTTGATTTCTCTTATCTACAAATGTGTTCCCTGCTGAGCTAGAAGCCCCTTCGTGCAGGTACTGTGTCTATTTTGCTCATCATAGGACTCCAGCATTGTTCCTAGAAGACGGTGTAGGAAATGCTGGCTGAGTGAATGAATAAGCAGATGAACGAACAGATTATGTAGCCAGGGGAGCAATTGGTAACAATAGCTGAAGGGCTCAAGCTGTGAACATTCTGGCACCGATCTTCCCACTGGGCATCCCAAGCAGAGGTAGTGGGGAGACTTATGCCTTTGGGGCTGCCATCTGTAACCGATAACTCTGATAGTAAGGGTTATTGACTGCCATCCCCACGAGAACGTAAGCCCCGTAAGGGCAGGGGAGTGTCTGCTCTATCCCCAGCATCCGGATCAGTGTCTGGCACGAAGCAGGTGCTCAGTTAATATTAGTCGACTGAATGGCTCCATCCCCATCCGGTCCTACACAACAGTCTTCCCTAGGAGAAGAAGCAGAGAGCTCAGAGCCTTCTAAAACAGAAGGAGATGCAGTCGGAAACTTCCAGATGTCACTCTGTGGACAGTTTATGCCTGCATATGACATGCTAAATTCAAGTTTCTTCATCAATAGATTTAAAGTAAGAGTTCACACTCCGCTAAGGCCTGGGAGAGAATGCTGGTCATCTGATTTGCATTTATATGGTACTTTGCAGTTTGTGATGTGATCTAATCTACATCTCATCTTAGTGAATGAGGCAAGGTAGGTACCATCACTCCCATTTTGCAGAGGAGGAAATGGAGGCCCAGAAGGGGGAAGGGACTCAACTGCAGCACGGGGACCTTTCCAGTAACACCTGGCAACTGATCTTAGAGCTGGATGTCTAGCTCCTCCCACTCCCTCAGCCCAGACAGCCTACACCTTCTGTCCTTCACCTACCTGGTCCCAGGTGTCCAGGAGCATGACGTCATCTGTGGCCAGGTCTTCCTGCATGAGCTCGCCAGGAACCTCTTCGATCTGGGAAGGAACAGAAGGGGTTAATGAAAGCTCACCAGCCCCCGCTCCCCCCAGGCTCCTTCCCCTGACTGGGCTCACTGGGTTTGCACCCAGGAAGGAGTTGCTCCAGCCGCCCAGGAAGGAGTTGCTCCAGCCAGCAGGGGATCCTTCCTCCGTGCTGTCCGCCTCCCCATGGGGGATGGGGGAGCAGAGGCAGAGAGCTCTGCGGGGGCTCACCACAAAACGTCCGATCTTGTTGGAGCAGGCAAAGAGGCGAGGAGGGTGGGCGTCCATCTTCTTGTCCTTTAGCCGCGGGGACGTGCGGTAGACAGCCTTGCCGCCCAGGGCCTCCCAGAAGCTGTCTGTGAGGGGAGACCACAGCAGTTGGTCCCCTGACACCACCTCCCCCAGCACGCTCGTCAGACCCCATGGTAAAAACCCTGCCCTAGAACGACCCAGTGCTCTCAACCCCCCTCCACCCAGGGGACCAGAGAGGGAGAGGGCCTGAGGGAATCTGAAGGTGATGAAACAGAGACCAGAGAGCCGACTTGGCAGCACGCACACAGGCAGGACTACCTCTGGCTTCTGAATGACGACAGCACTGTGGGCTGGGGATAATTATCCCTGCTCAACAGACAGGGTGACGGAGGCTCAGAGAGGGTAATCCACTCACCCAACATCACACAGCTAGTAAGTGGGAAAGCCAGGGTACAAATCCTGTCGGGCTCCAACCCACCCCACCCCACCCCCCCGATTCATTCCACTACACCTGCTCTGTCCACATGTGGCTATTTAAGTTCATTAAAATTAAATACAATTAGACATTCAGTTCCTCATTCTCATTAATTCCCAGGAGCCATATTTCAAGTGCTCACTAGCCACATGTGACTAGTGGCCACCATATTGGACCTGGGCAGGTATGAACATGTCCAGCCTCTCAGAAAGTCCCACTGGACAGTGCAGCTGAAGACTGAGCTGCTCCTCCCCACTTCTACTGAGCATCGGGCGGGAAGGAATGGGCTCATAGCAAGAGCAGAGAGACTGAGGGCTGGCGTAAAGAAGATGTTCCCACCTATGTTCGGGAAACAGAGCAGGCTTGTGGCAATTCTATCCTTGGAGATTCTGAAGATTAGGAGAGGCTGCTACTCCTGCCTGTCTTTCAAGGCTTCCTAGCAAGTGACCACCTCTTCCAGCAGCCCTCCTTGAATGCCCCAGCCCACACCGAACTCTCCTTTCTCGTAGCTCCTGAAGGCCTCCCTCTCACTGACGATAGCCCTCAACCTGCTTTTCTTGAGCACTCCTTCGGGGACAGGCACTAGAAGGGGTGAGGATCCAGAGCCCCACCCCCCAAGCAGAAAGAAGGGAGGGAACCTAAGAGCTGCAGTCCCCAGAGAGCAGCAGGCCCCTCCGCCCCCAGCTCCTACCTGGCTCACTGCCTTCTGCCACCTGCACAGGTTGGACCCGCAGGACCCTGAGCAGCTCCCGGGCCCCCGTCTTCTCCACCTCACTGGCTCCGGCACCCACCCACAAGTAGGCAGCCAAGGGAGTTTTCAGGACAAAGGCATCATTGGAGTTCAGCGCACCAGCCTTAGGAATTATCTGGGAAGGCAGCACTCGATTAATCAGAAACCAGACCAAAAGTCCTCAGCCCCCTCCTTACTGCCCAGGAGACCCTGCAGCAGGACCAGCTCTTAGATGGAGACTTGGAAGAGCACCCCCATCACAGCTGAGAGCACAGACTTTGGACAATGAGGGGCTTAGTTGATTCCCATGATTCACTAATGTGCTGTGGCTCAACACGGTCATTCTAGAATTCTGGGCTGCATTAACAGAAGTTGAGTGCCCAGAACAAAGGAGGTGATAGTCCCATTCTCCTCTAGGCTGCTCTGAGCATCCTGTAGGAGTATGTTCAGGTCTGCATCTTCTGCCATAAAAGGGACAGAGACCACGTGGCATATAATCAGGAAGTGTCCAGACGGTGAAGAATGGACTACCTGTTAGGTAGTGAACTTTCCATTATGGAAGGTATGCAAGGAGCCCCGGGCATCTTTGAGACATGAGGAAGTCTAAGACATACAATTCTGCTTGCCAGGCCAGGGAAGTTACAAAAACCTCCTTCTTAACTCCTGACCCAACCGCCCCCTCCCCCAACCAGTCCTGTGCCCAGACATCTGCCCATCGAGCATGGGAGGTTTCAAGTAGGCCAATCCCTCCTGGGGTTCAGGGCCTGGGCCTTACCTCAACGGCTCTGGTGGCTCCAGAGCTGCTGGCCCGGACCTGGAAGAGGCGGGTACTGGCAGGGGCCGTCTGCCCGCCCTCACGGGACGTGCCACCCTTATAGATGATCATAGGTTTCCCGCCAAACAGGCTCATGAGGTGGGCTGGCTCCTTGCCTTGGACCACACGACTCTGGCAGGGTGACAGGACAGCAAGTCAGGCAAGGAGAGTGCGGGCATTCGTCCTTCTGTGCGGCAGCAAGCTCACCCCCCAGCCCAACCACCATGGCCTAGGCCCATCCTCCAAACAAGGCCAGCACGCAGGTGTCTGCACGTGGTGGGGCGCATGACCCCACAGCACACGGGAGCTGGGCGGGGAAATGGGGAGTCCCCGGGAAGCTGGAGACAACGCCACTGCCTCACGTCCCCCGGGCACTGCCTCGGCTGCCCTCCCTTCCCATGAGGACCTGCCTTGCTGACCCTGAGTCTAGTCCAAGAACAAAGAGAACCAATGTTTGCAAATATTCCCTTAAATAGAAACACATGGGTTGTTCATGGACATTCTTCCAGAATGGTGACGCCAGCTCACGGCATGAAAGACGGCAGAGGGGTGAGAATAGAGCTTCTAGACATGGAGAGACCCCTCTTGCACAGCCAGAGGGACCTCTTAAACCTATAAATCCCTTCACATCACATTTACCAGGGAGCAATATCCCCTTGTTCTCAGGGTTAAGGTCAATCCTCACCATGGCTTCTGGGTGGTCTGGCCCCTCTGCGTACCTCTCGAGACTTCTCTTATGGCACTCGGTCCCTTGGTCTACTGCTCAATGCCCCCTCTGACCTCAGTGCCTTTGCATATACTCTTCCCTCTGCCTGAAATGTGCCTGCCCAATTCCTACTCACCCACTGGGTCCCAGCAGAAAAGTATCTTCCTAAGGAGGTCCTTGTCTAATCCAGTTAGATCCTCCCAGGGATCTATTATGTCCTTACTTAACACACATGTAACTGGGGACTATTATGGGGGCCAGGTATGGCTCTAAATGCTTTACTAAGATTAACTCTTCATCTGCAAGGCAATCCTGGGGCAGAGAGAGGATACTTTGAGACTACACAGATACAGAGAGGCTAAGTGACTCATTCCTGGTCGCCCAGAGGTAAGACAGGGTTCAAAGGTAAGACAGCAGGCCGCCTCCACATCCGCCCTCTGACTGAGTGGCCACACTGCCTCTCCTGAATGTCTGAACATCTTTCTCCTCCCCACACTACAAACCGTATGAGCGCAGGGGCGCGACCTGTGTGTTCAGGGCTGCAGATGGTGTCGGGCACACGGGAGCCCTGCACAAATGTTTGTGGGGTGGGTGGACAGTCAGCTAGAGGAGCGACCCCATGGACGAGGTGCATCACCTGCACAGGGGACCCCCCGAGCTCCTCATCCAGCTGGGCAGTCAGGATGGCAGACGCAGCGACCTCATCCTGCGTGGACTGGGCACCCTGCCTGAGAGAGGAGGTGATACTCAGCACCGAGGTTTGCACAGAACCCAGAGTGTCTCCCTGGTCCCGGGCCTTGAGAAACCCACACGCCACAATCCCAGCGCAGCACCTGGCCTTCTTCTGAGATCTGAGCAAAACCAGTGGTCTCTTATCCTAAATATGCCCTGTGGGGGGCCAGGGGGCTCATCCCAGGCAGAGCAGCCACGAGGGAAGGTGCCCGGAGATGCCAAGACGGAGAAAGGCGGCCAGGACATTTCTCACAGGGGACAGACAGGTCAGAGAACAGCAAGTGGGACATGAGCCCCTTCGCAGGGAAAAGACATCAGTACTCATAGCCTCATGTGAACCTGCTCAGAGAAGTCCGTGCAGATGTCCCCCAAAAGGATCCAAGCTGCTCGCCCTGAGAGGGGAGATTGGGCAGGGGCTTCGCTTTCCACCCCACCTCTTCCTATACTGTCCAAATTTCCCATAACTAATGTGTTATCTATAGAAGCAAACAAAATCTGACAAATCAAGTTGAGGACGCAGCTACCGTTTTTTAAAAAAATGCCTTCTGAATTTTGTACCATGTGCATGTATTACCTAGTCAAAAAAAAAATTCTTTGAAGCTGCTTTTAAAAGTCTGACGTTGTCAAATGGAGAGGCGTTCTACAAAATAACCCACCGGCACTCTTCCAAAGTACCAAAGTCATGAGAGAAAAGACTGAGGAGCTGTCACAGATTAGGACTTGGTGATTAATCACTGAGGAGGCATGATGACTAAGTGCCATATGGGATCCTGGGTTAGATCCCAGGCCAGAAAGAGGACATGAGTGGGGCAACTGGTGAAATCCAAGGAAGGTCTACAGATTGGTAAATAGAATTGCATACTATGTTAATTTCCTGGTTTTGATCACTGTATTCTGGTTAGGTAAGATACGCACAGGGAGGGAGATGTGTAATGGGTACGTGGAAACTGTACCATTTTTGCAACTTTTCAGGAAGCCTCAAGTTATGTCAAAACAAAAAATTTAAAGAGGAAGACATCCAACCATCATCAAAAAGTTTTGAGATGGTATAGTAAGAGCAATACAAGTTAAAAATATACTGAGATACTGTCTTATCAACGATAAGGTTGACAAACATCCAAAAGTTTGACAACATAGTCCACCAGTGAGGCCATGGGGAAACAGACTCACTGGTGCTGCTGGGAACGCAAAATGCTACAAAGTCCATCTAGGGAAACTGGGCACCATCTATCAAAATGACAACTGCATTTAGTCATTGACCCAGCAATCCCACTTCTGGGAATTTACCCTACAGACATTTTTCTACACATTCAAATGATATTTGTTTAAAGGTCACTAATCATAGCAATGCTTGTAATAGCAAAAGACTGGAATCAATCCAAGTATGCATTCACAAGGAATTTGTTAAACAAGTAACAGTGTAGCCACACAGCAGAATATTATGCAGCTGTAAAAGAAAAAAAAAAAAAAAAGAACAAGGAAGTACCCTCCGTACTGACATGGGTCCATCTCCAGGAAGTACTAAGTGAAAAAAGCAAAGTACATAACAATATACACAGTATGCTATCCTTTGAAGGGTAGGGAAGGGCGGGAACTAGGTAATATAGTCCTATTTGCAGGAAGAATTACTGGAAGAATATATATAAAAAACAAATGAAAGCCATTACAGAGGGGTGGGGATTGGAGAATGGGGTGAAGGGGGTTGGGATGGGAACAAGATTTCTCAACAGATACCTTTTTATTGTCTTGATTTTTGAATTTTGTGAATGCATTGCCCATTTTAATGGAATTAAAAAAAATTTTTTTAAAAAAGAATTTTTTCATTATTATGTTATGTTAATCACCATATGTTACAGCATTAGTTTTTGATGTAGTGTTCTATGATTCATTGTTTGCGTATAACACCCAGTGCTCCATGCAATACGTACCCTCTTTAATACCCATCACCAGGCTAACCCATCCCTCCACCCCCCTCCCCCTAGAACCCTCAGTTTGTTTTTCAGAGTCCATAGTCTCCCATGGTTTGTCTCCCCCTTCGTTTGGAATTTAAATTTTTAGATGAGAAAACACGTGGTAGGTACAGTGCTTGGTGTGGAATTGTGGGAGGGATCTTCTGTTTGCTTCTCCCTATTCACTGCATCTCCTACAACGGACATGTCATATTTTTGGAAGAACGGTTTAAACGTTGTTACGAGAAATAAGACAAGAGGCATTGCCTCGAGGATAGGAGCCCTCCCTCACAGTGTGGCCATTCCACCGCAGGCCTCTCAGCCCCATGCCACGCTCAGGGCCCAGTCGGAGCCCCCCCCACATCCCATCCCCCAGCGCGTGACCCCACAGCCTCACCAGTTGTAGATGATCTGTCCCTGACGGCCACCGTGACGGTAGTTGTACAGAATGATGTAACTGTCCCCACCGTAGAACTGCCCGTACATGGAGGGGTCCACAGGCACTTTGTTGGAGCCTTCGATTCTCCAGATCTGCCAGGACAAGCCCAGGCTCAGACGCGGTGCGGTTCCCCCCACCCAGACCCCCCCAACTCAGGCCAGTGGGGAACCGCGGGGTGGTGGGTCAGGGTTACACAACAGGACAAGCTTTTTATATGCAGCTCCACTTGGGCTCAGGCTGAACCTAAAGAATTTGCCCCAGTCACTGAGCCACTAGGATTCAAACCCCGGATCCTTACATGACACCCCCACCCCACCCCGTAGTTCCTCCTCGGAGTGGTCAGCACAGGCATGGGGAGCTGCACGGCGGTATTTAGGCCGTGCTTTCAGCGAGGGTAACACAGTGAGTGCCCACCTCCAAGTGTCGTGAGGATCAAGTGAGTTCACTCTCCAAAGTCCAGCACCGTGCCTGGCACAGGGAGACGACCGCCGTGTAGCTGGCAGCCACTCTCATTATTAGAATTGTGATTGAGGTGATTATTAGCGATACGGTCATCGGCATCGTTAGGGAGTTATCTGGATTTTACAGATCACCTCCAGAAGCAGGGGCATCCCTAGGTGACCTCAGAATGACCCTGCTGGCACGTGTCTTCCCAGAGCTCCAGTGACAGTTTTCCCAAGCGGTCATGAGGTCCTGCAGCGCCACCTGGTGGTACTTCGGAGACACTGCGCCCTCCAAGACCAAGAATCTCCAGACCTTGAAAATTCTAGGTGAGGGGTGGGATTAAACCCCATTTTATAGGTGAGAAGAGTGAGGGTCACTCAGCCAGGCTGCCAGAGCTCTTTTCACCTGTGCTACCCTGAACATTTTTACTGCATCCTGCCTTCCCACTGAAGTATGAATGAGTGATAATTATACCAATGGCAAAAATAAGAATAAATAAAAATGAACACTTTTGCTGTTTCTATCATGTAGAATAGAAACAAACAAGTAGACTCTACTTCATAAACATCTCTGAACCCCAGCCTCCACCCCTCCATCTTCACCGTGGCTTCCTGGGAGCCAGGCTGTCTTCTCTTACCTATACAATTACAAACATCTCCTCATAGGGTCTCAACCTTCATTTTCCTGCCTCTAATCCATTTTCACAGCAAGTTTTGAAAGCAGAGAATTGAGCTTGTTGCATGTCTGCTTTTAAAGCAAGAAAAAGAAAAAACCCTCACTTGCACCCACTGGTTATGGGATCAAGTCCACGGTCCTGGACACGGCATTCAAGGCCCTTCCTTGAGGATGCAGTCAGCCCTACGCTCTTGGGACAGTTCCCTGCCTGTGATACCCACCATTCTTCCTCTCTGGCAGCAAACTTTGACTCATCCTCTGAGGCCCAACAGAAGGGTCCCCATCTCTCTGAAGACTGTTCCAACCACCCCACCCCTTTTGCCCTTTCTCTGTTCCCATAATCTGTGTGCTCGCCTCCAATCTTCCACCGACAGCACAGGTCTGAGCAATCAGCTGTTGCTGTGCTTGCACCAGGCACTCCTTGCTGGCAGGGTGACGTCTGAGACACTTGGCCTGGGGCCTGGCAAACAGTAGGTGCTTGGGGTATATTGGCTGTAAAAATTAACTGAGGCAAAAGAATCCCAACCACCAAGACTGTGGTCAAAACCTCATAGAGGAAGGGCCTCAGGGAAGCAGGAGGCAATGCATGAGCCGGAGGTGCCTGGGAGGGAGCACGGGAGGGGCCTGGACACCCCCACGCAATCCCCCAGGCACCTGTTTCTGGCCTGAGCCGTCGTCATCCATGCTGTGCTGGGCTGCCATGGCAGTGGACGTGTGCAGGGTGGCAGCATCGAAGGGCATGCGCTCCACATTGGCAATGTGGCTGGAGAGGTAGGCCAAGCCTGGGCCGTCTGTCTGGTCTGGGTCCCGCCAGTTCTTGAAGAACTGCTTGAACAGCGGGGTCTCGCCACCCTCAGGAAGGACGGAGACCTGGACAGGTGAGGGAAGAGCAGGATGGGGCCGGGCTCAGGTCCCCCTGAGGACAGGGGCTGCCAGGCAGAGGTCCTGGGAGGAGACTCAGACACCCAGTCCGCACTGAGGCAGGTAGGGGAGGCCCACCCCGTCCCAGCCCCACCCCACCCGACCTGGACCTGTCCTCACCGTGCGGCTTGGCTCCAAGGCTCACCTGGGTCTGCCTGGGGTAGTCCATCTTGGAGATGAAGTCGGAGGCCGTTTTGAGGGCAGCCTTCCTTTCCTCCACGTTGGCCTGCTTGCCTGTCAGCAGGTGGGGGGTGAGGCACCCGGGGTCAGTGCTATGTCCTAACATCCAATGGTCCAGGGGAAGCAGCAGCCGAACTTCCCTCCCTATTCTTCTGATGCTGCAGACAGCCAAGACCAGACCCCTCCCCCCAGAGATGACTGCTCCTAGAGCCCCTGGGGGTCCAGCTGGGGGTCCTAACTGATGGTAGTAACCACAGCAACCGTTGTGGTCCATTTACAGAGCATGTACTCTGTGCTCAGAACTGTCCATAGCTGATTTCATTTAATTCACACAATGACCCTTTGTGATAAAGATCATTATTAACTTGTCCCACTGACATATAAGAAAACCAGGGTCTTAGAGAGGTTAGCTGACTTGTCCAAGGCCACACAGCAAGAGGGAAAGCTGTGACTCTGAAGTCCACACACCACACCCTCGGGCCCCCTTCCTGCTCCTAGGCCACCTGTCCACAGTGGGGGCCTCCTCCCACTCCCCAGTCTGAAGTTCATGCCAACCTGAGAGCCTCCCCATGCCTGCACAGCTCCTGGCCAGCAGGTGCCAACCCGCAGTCCCCAGCCTTCCTACTGCCAAGGCTGAGGGGTCCAAAGAATAATAATAATGGCCATAAGTGCTCAATCTCTCTCTTCCTCTCTGCCCTTCTCTGTGCACCCACTGCCTCCCTCCCCCTCCTGTCCTCGTCCCCGGGGCTAATGGTAGAGCATCCAAGCAGGATGCCGATGGGTCCTCTCAGAAGCATCTGGGCCAACGTTTTCCAAGAGCCTCTCATCATCAATCCCACAGGACATTCCCCACAGATTCCATGGACCCCTAGCACAGCATTTCCCAAATAGAAACCAGATCACTTTTGTGAAAAGCCCCAATATACATTAGCAAGTTAAAGGTTCTTAAAAGGCCTGCAGTAAACAAGCCTGTTAACAGTGTTGCCCATAAACTTATTTGACCACAGAAATATACACTTTTTTTTTTCTTTACAGGCTGCCAATTAGCCTCTGAGAGAACTGGTGTTATAACATACCTGGGAAACACTGGTTTTAGCCCAAATGGGAAATCTGAGGCCCAGAGAGGGTAAGCCAAGTGCCCAAGATCACAAAGCGAGTCAATTGTAAAGCCACTGGCTTCAGAACAAGACTCGATTGCTATTCTGGAGCCTGCCGTGCCCCAGGGTGCCTGCCACACACACTCTACCCTCCCAGGGCTGTCGGAGCTCCCACGAGGGCCTGGGGGCTGTCAGAAACCCTTCCCCTGCCCCCAGTACCTTTCCAGACAAAGATTTTCCCATCTCTGCCATGGTCCAGGATGAAGCAGTCCTCAGACCTCAAGGCCCCCTGGGCGAAGGGGTTCTCATCAGCCACGAGGGAGACCGACATGGTGCCCGCACCATTGGAGACCTGAGGGGACGAGGGACAGGAGGCCCAGAACATGAGTGACCTCCACCACTTCGGCCTGCCCAGGTGGGACCCCCAGGCTGACACATGGGTTGGCCCACATCCCAGCTGCCACCCCAAAAACACGGGAGAGTAACACCCAGACCCACGTCCCCAAGCTCTGAGGTATACTCAGGCTTTCTTTCCCCTTCTCTGCTTTGCCAAAAATCACACCTGCAACCCACATACACGTGTAACGTGGAAACTGCACACAGAAAGGGAAGTGGGGTAAGACGTGGGCATGCAGGTGGCACAGGAGATTTGTACAGTTGGCCGAGGAGACAGTCAATGTCATTCGTTAAAAAAAAAATCAAAAAACGAAGGTAGAAAGATATAAATGCAGATGCAGTGTGGTATCCTGGATTGGAATCGGGAATGAGAAATTGGGGAAACCCGAATCAAGTCTGTTGTTTAGTTAACAGTGTTGAACCAGTGTCAGTTTCTTGGTGTTGACAAACGTCTCTGGTTATGGTAAGATGTTAAGGAAAAGCCGGATGAAGGATATGTGGAAACCTTCCATCCTATCTTTGCAATTTTTCTGCAAACCTTCAAATTATTCCAAAATGAAAAGCTTTCAGGAAATTAAAATGAAAGTGTGCCATGCTAGTCAAAATTCAAAACACTGACAATCCCCAGTGTTGACAAGGTTCCAGATAATCTGGGAGCCCTTCCAGAGTGCAGTTTAATAATGTATCAGAACTTTAAGTAACAAACGCTCTACACTTACTGAGTACTTACTATGCACTGGGCACTGTTCTGAGCAATTTGTATAATTTAATAATTTATGCCATTGTAGAACTCCTTTAATCCTTGCAGCAACCCTGCGATAGTCCTACAGTATCCCCCATTTTATTCACAAGGAAACCAGGGCACAGAGAGGTTTAAGTAACTGAACAGCTAGAAGGCCATCCTGGGATTCGAAGACAGGCAATCTGACTCCAAAACTGGTATTTTCAATCACTGACTTATTATTCAGGCTTTGACCCCAAAATCCATGTCTGGGAACTCGCCCTAAGGCTCTACTCGGCACAAGTGCACAGAGAGGGACTATTTGCAATCAGAAAGGGTGGATACATCCTAGTGTCCATAAATGTCTGTTGAGATTCTTACATTCCTAAAATAGAATACAACAGAGCTACTACAAAGGGCCACCTAGATCACTGTTGTAGAAAGATATTCCTGGCCACGCTGAGAGGGAAAAAGAAGGTCACAGAAAAGCATGAATACTTTGGATCCATTTATACCAAACAGAGATGGAAAAGTGTGTAATTAGATACAGAAAGATGTAATCTGGACCTTCTTTCACTAAAATGATAGCTGTGTAACCATGGTAACCCTAAAAAAGGGTACGGGAGAGGCTGGTTTTTTAAAAATTGAGTTTTGTTACTTTTATAATTAAAACATTTTAAAAATAGTACTTGTTATCTTAAACTAGTGAAACTTCATTAATTTTCTTTTTATGCTCTGGAGTATTGCTTACTATTTTCTTCAATGAATATACATTTCTTTATAATCAGAATAAAAATCAATGTGGTGTTTCTTTGGAGGTGATGGAAATCTGCACCCCATTTTGTTGTGATTTTACCACAAATAAGCTGAGGGCTTGACACGAGTATCATGGGCTAGGCCAGGCTTTCACCCAGAGCTCAGTCATGAGGCCAGAGTTCCTCAGCTCAAGCTCAGCCTGAGTTTTAAAAATCACAAGAAATAAATTATAACTAAAGTAACTACACACACACACACACACATACACACACGCCCATTTCTATAGTATTTCCCCAAGTATTTTCCTAAACATTTTCCCATGTTTTCTCTGTGGACTCCTAGAAATCCTGCAAAGTTGGCCTTACTGTCCTACTCCCCACCCACTTTACAGATGAGGAAACTGAGACCTAGAGAAAGACTACGTGCCGCCCAAGACGACATAGATGAGCATGATGTAAATGTGTCTACCTACAGTTGATCAAATTCTCTTATTCCTGGTGTAGGAAGGCAAAGGAAGTAGCTGGATGTCCGCTGGAGACATGTGGGAGCCGAGCCCCCGCCCGAGGGTGCTCTGCTTCGGGTCCCATGGCGGCAGAGCTCGGGAAGACCAAGTCCCCCGCCTCCCTGTCCTGACCCCACACCCAGGGGACAGAGCAGCTGAGGCTCACCTTGTAGAGCTTGGCCAGCCTGCGGTTGGCCGCATCCTCCTTGGCTGTGTCTTCCATACCTGCAGGCAGAGCCGGCTTAGGGCCCAGCACCTGCAGGAGATGAGAGAGGGAAGAAAGTCCGGCCTTGACCTCAGGGAGGGGCCTGGGCTCCTCAGAGAGCTCCCTCCCCAGGCAGGCAAGGACACTCCGGGCATCCACCGTGACACCCTCCACTAAGGGTAGGACCCCCTCCAGAGACGTCCTGCATCTCTTCACATGTCTCCTGTGTGCGGGTCTCAACCAGAGCTGCCTGTCAAGTCCTTCCCTCCCTGTTGCCCTGTCCCCGGGAGCTCCATGAGAACACCCAGCTCCTCCACCCCCAGCACAGGCCTTCAAATATTCATGCTCCCATTTCCTCCCAGGCTTTCTCAGAATGATAAACACCTTCCCCCACACACCTTTAGGTGATCCCACTTAATGCTCACACCCACGAGGCACCGATGATCACTCTCCTTTTAGAGGAGGAACCTGAAGTCCAGAGAGCTCAAGTAACTTGTACACACAGCTATGAGGTAGCTAAGTCAGAATTGGAACCCAGATCCCTGTGATTTCACAGCCTATTTTCACTCTTCCATTCTGGGCTACTCCAGAGTCAACAGCCCCAGCTACTGCCGCTTCCAAGCCATGGTTGGTGTCCAGGCTCCTCCCCATAATAACCTTCTGCTCTTCCTAAAAAGTGGAACTCAATGCCCCCAGACAAGTAGGAGCCAAAGGGCATAGAGCAGAGCTTATGGTCTCCTCCTTTTCCTGGTGAATTCTGCCTCTATTGATATGTCCTCAAAGCACAACGGGGGGCAGTGCCATCCTGCAGTTGCCTGAATGGGCCATAAATCACTAGGAACGATCAGAAGAGGAAAGAGGGGATTGGGTCAGTTGTCTCTTTCTGATCTGGCTCCAGTTCCAGGATTGCTCTCAGAAGATGCCATAACCCTCCTCCTCAGCTCCTTGGGAGGACCTGGCCCTCCCAGCTGGAGGGTGTGGCTCACAACCCCAGAAGGCACCAGGCCCTGGGATTCCAGCCCCACCTCTCCGCAGAGTCTGGGAACTGTCTGGGAAGTTGCTCTTCCCCACTCTCTGAGGAGTCCCAGCTTAGTGGAAAAACAACTTCGCCTCACGATTGCCCAACCGATGGAGGGACAAAATGAGCATCCGAGACTGACGCTCGGCCCCACCCTGCACCCCCGGGATGCGGCCCAAATACCTGGAGCATCGCCTCAGGCTCAGCGCCCTCCTCCGACACGTGCACTCGGGCCCGGCCACTCCGCTCGTTGTCCCGGATGCCCTTGGACACCTGTGTGGCCTTCAGCCTCTCAAATCGGTTACTATTGGAGCCACACCACTGGTAGATGTCCTGTAGGGCGGGGACCCTGTGTCAGGCAGCGCCCCAGCCTTCCTATCAGCCCCGCCCAGTGACATGGCCAGGAGGGGGTGTGTATGCCCACCTCGTTCTCGGCCTGCCCACGAGGCTGATGGGGCATGCACATGCCCACACCCAAGCACAATGGGCGTGATCCGTGTGCACCAGGGTGTATGACTGCACAGCTTGGAATGTGCATAAAAATGTCTGCCGGCTGGTGGGAGCGGAAATGGGCACAGCCGTTTTGGAAAACCATTTAGCTGTAGCTACTAGAGCTCCATGTACTGCTATCTTTGACAGCACCCCTCCCAGATGCACACTCCACGGAAGTGCATTTGCACATGCCCCGGAAGACCCATGCAAGAACATTCAGGGGGGCACGCCTGGAATCGCCTCGAACCAGAAACTCTTCTGAGTGCTCATAAACAATAAAAGCATAGATAAATAGGAGCACATCAGCCCAGTTCAGTGTGACATAGCAAGGAGAATGAACAATCTATAATTAAATGCCATATGGATAGATCTCAGAAACAGAATGTTGATCAAAAGTGGGCAGGCAGATCAGACAGAAGAAAGAATGATTCCATGTACATAAAGTTCAGAAATGGGTGGAACCCTGCTACGCTGCTCAGAGTTTGGGATTATGGTTACCCATGGGCTTGAAGGGACTAGATGAGGACAGGAGAGGGCTTCTATGAGCTCATGACATTCTGTTTCTTGATCCGGGTGTTGGTTACACCAGTGTGTTCACTTTGAGAAATCCACTGAGCTATACACTCAGGATTCACACACTCTTTTGTGTACCTATTATACTTTAATAAAAGGCTCACACTAAATATACTTGCCTGTGTTTGCATGGACATTACACCACATACATAGATGAGGTGGCGGTGGAATGTCTGGCCATGTCCATTTGCAGGGATGAGTACACCTGATGTCAAGAATGTGTACAAAGCATCACACATCTGTAAGCTGGGCTGGGGTAAGTAAATCCCACACACATTGCCATATACAAATGTGCATGCACAACTACATGCATGAGACACATAGATGTGGGTCCTTGAACAGCACACCCAAGTCTCTGTTGTAGGCACTCATCATGGTACGCATGTCTGGGTCTGGTGGGCAAGAGCAGATAGTTTTCGCACATGCCTGCATTTGTGAATGACTATACGTAAGGCACATGAGATGTGCATATGAACACAAGATGTCGGGGAATCTATATGTCAGTCAAAGTCCGAGTACACTGTGCACAAGGTCTGTGCAGCTGTGTATGATGGGCTTGAGTTTGCACGCGTGGGAGTCTATACATGCTGGGCACCTCTGTCCTCCAGTCTCTGCAGGTGTGTCCGGCTCGTGCACAGAACATGTGTCTACATGGGGGCTGCTGTCCCTGGGGCTTGCCTGCCCATGTCTTTGCATGTGTTCACATGGGTGTGTCCCCCTCCCCAGAGTCAGGCCCAGCCAGGCCAGAAGCATCTCAGGGGCCCCTGGGAAAAGGCAGGGCAGGACTCACGTTTCCCAGGTCCAAGATGAAGCAGTCACCATTGTTGAAGCTCTCCCAGGACACGGGCACCTCAGTGGCACGGACCACACGCCGCCCTTTGACCTGGAAGAGTCTCTGCACCACCACTTCATTGGGTACCACGTGCTTGAATCCTGATGCCACGCCTCCTTTCTGTTGGGTCAAGCAGACAGTGTCAGTCCAGGGCAAAGTGTCCAGGGAAGCAGATATGGGGGGAGGGGAGAGGGGAGAATTGAAGGAAATTCTGGCCTGTGGACCAGCGGCCTTCCAGCAGATTCCTTGGTCAGATTCTATCAGCTGCCACCCCTTTGAATCTCATACTCCACTAACAAAGACCCCTGGGGCCACTTGCCTGAATTGAAAAGCTACAGACATTCCTTTCTCAAAACCAGCATTTCCCAAGGAATGTTCTAAGGAACTCTGGTCCTCCAAGTTATTCTGCAAAGGAAAGGGTTCCAGGATCACAGAAGCACGGGGAATGCTTCTTTTTTTTTTTTTAAAGATTTTATTTATTTATTTGACAGAGAGAGACACAGCGAGAGAGGGAACACAAGCAGAGGGAGTGGGAGAGGGAGAAGCAGGCTTCCCGCCGAGCAGGGAGCCCGATGCGGGGCTCGATCCCAGGACCCTGGGATCATGATCTGAGCCGAAGGCAGACGCTTAACGACGGAGCCACCCAGGCGCCACGGGGAATGCTTCTTACTGGCTCCCTGACCATTCGTTAGACAGTGCACATCAGCATAACACAGGCTCTGAGAAGTCCTGTGGTAAAGAAATGGGCTGTCCGCCTTTTGTTTTATGCAGCATTTCCTGACCTTACTGAATCAAGAACTGCCTTCTCCACCACATCCTGCTTGCAGCTCAAGTGTCTTGCAAAGCCATTTTGAGAAATGCTCATTCCAAGCTTTCCCATCTTCCAGGCTCTCTAGGAAGATGGCTCCAACCCACACCCCCCTTCTCTCTCCACCTGCCGTACTGTAGCAAGTCTCATCCAAGTACAGAGCACCGACCTCAGGGTCAAGTCCCTGTCCTGCCACTACAGTGCTGGGTGACTCTGGGTAAGTCTCTTCCCCTCTCTGAGCCTCAGGCCTCTCTGTTCTGAAATGGGGACAGAAATCCCTGCTCTGCCAGGCTCTGCAGTGGTCACCAAGTCCCAGGGAAGGGGCCTTCAGTAGGCCTGCCCTGCAGTAGTCAAAACTGCGCTCGGCTCAGGAGAAACCAAGTAAAGGGGGCTGGCTTTCTCCCCAGCAGTCCCCAGCCCCAGTATGACAAGTCAGAGGTGACAAAGTCCTTACAGAGCTTGCCATTTTACTCATGGTAAACTGAAGCCCAAAGATGTGAAGTGACTCGCTCAAGGGCAGTCAGCAAGTGTACGGCAAAGCTCAGGCTGGAAACTTCACCTCCTATTCCCAAGCTTGCTCCACGTGCCATCGGGGTGTAGGCAGAAGGGCTCCCACTAAGGCCAGAAGTGTGGCCACCCCGTCCAGGCCCCTCTTTGCCACCTCACTTTGCAGAGCAAAGCCAAGTCTGATTTGAGGCACAGATTCCATGAGGGCAAGGGGACCAAGGGAGCGAGTTTGAATTGGGCTCTTATTATGTCCACACACAGTAAGCAGCATAAAAGCGGTGGTGCAATGCCTACTGTGCTGGGCATGTTGCTCGCATCATCTATGAGGACGGTGTCCTTATCTCCATCTTACAGATGAGGAAAGTGGAGTCCAGAAACGAAGGGACTTACCCAAGAGCTCACAGCTAGTCAATGATGGAGCTAGGGTTCGAACCCAGGTGTGACTGAATCCATAAAGCCCACATTCTTTCCCCAACATCAGGTTTTCTTAGAGCAAAGGTAACTAGGGTCACCCAGGATGGAAGGCAGAAACAAGGCACTGCTCAGAGCAAAGTTGGTCCAATAGAAGAGTGGTTTCTCCTATTGTGAGTGAAGCGCCCCCTGGTGTCCTTTCTTGGTACCAGCATGAGGCCTTTTAAGAGCATCCCCTTGGGCTGAGCAGGGCTGCCCAAGGTGTTCACAGAGCCTTTCCTTCCACTCTACTTCAAGGGCCCTCTCGCTGGGGGGCAGGTGAGGAAGGGCAGCTGAGGAAGAAGATGCAAAGCCCTGCGCTCACCTGGTAATGACCACAGAGGCTGCCACTTAGGGAGTCCATGCCAGGGAGCTGGGGCACCTGCTTTACAGACATGCAATCGGGTCCTCACAACAAGACCCTAAGGGAAGGACTCTCGTTGCCCCACTTCACAGACTAGAAAACTGAGGTCTAAAGAGGTTACACCCTAAACCCAGGGTCCCAGCTAGTTGGTGGCAGTACTCCCATGTTTGCCCTTCCAGGGATCCAGCCTTGCCCGTCTACCAGCCCAGGAACTCCTGAGTGTCCACAGACAGTCCTGATCCAAGCACTTCATTCTAAAAAGACAGTGGATCTGAAAAGCTTCTCCAAAAGGTGCTGGAATGACGCACCAACCATTTCCATGGATTCCTCAGAGAGGAGACAATGGGGACATGGCGGAAGAGAAAGGCCCTTAACTCTTTTTTATACGTTTCTGAACTATTTCACTTGTTCAAGCATGCCTTTTATTTGTTATTTAAAAATAGAAACATTTTTTTAAAAAGGAAAAGGGTTGTTTTATGTCATAAACCTCGGTTTCAATAAATTCTCTGTATGTGAATTTATAAAGTAAAAGGATGCTTGATATTTCATGATGGTGGACATGAATCTCCTGATTAATTAACTTACCAATCTAGGAAATTAGACTTGGAAACATGAACAGAAAGATAAAAGCAAGATCTTGGAAGACATTAGTGGATCTAAAAGTACAGGGGGTGGAAATTTTCACTGTAACCTTCAGAATTGGTTGTTGCTTTCTATGGTCTAATTATTAGGCCGAGATTGGCATCACATTATTTGAACAAAATTCAATAGGATGGTCTTAAAAGTCACTTTCCAAATTAAAGTGATGAGATATATATA